TTTTCGAGGAAACATTATTAATTAAGTGTATAAATAATGGTAATTCTAATGAAAGCTTTATTAAGATTAACACAATCTTATCCAATTCTTAAAAATAGGATTAGATTCTGTCAAATATGGTGCTCAATACTATATAATGGTAGTAAAAATGTAAAGTCAAGTCAGTATTACAACAAATCAACTATGTTAAAGGTAAATCAAAGTGGTTTTTTCTGTGTATAATATATCCATTTTTTCCTTGAATTCATTTAGTACTACATAGTTAATAAAATAGAATAGAACTTATGTTCATTAATGATCTCCATGTTTGTCATCAGCCTCGTTGATCGAACACTACTGGACCTGGGGCTTCTTTAAACTGAAGAAGCTGTAGAGCTTCGCTTTGTCTTATGCCTTCTGAATACAACGAGATTCCTTACCTATAGAACTATGTGGTCGTCAGTCAAGGAGATTTAGGAACTAAATAAATGTAATATGGTTATATACATACTACTTTTTCATACCTGGTATTTTTTTTCTATTTTTGCAATAAATTATTTTTAAATTTATAATAACTATAAATGTATATATTTTTTGGTTTTTGCTTCGAAAGTTTTTTCGATTTACTAATACTCCTGATGTACCCAACAAATATGGACACTAAATTTTATAAATCCATATCTCCAAATAAAATATTTTAATGTAAAATTTACTTTTGTGAATATCCTTAACTTTGTCAAAAGGAATTAAATCCATCTCACAAGCTTAAAAATCGATTATTTAACAGACATATATTCGCAAGATTATTTAATATACATACATTCTCAGAACACACATATAAATATATAGTTTTATAGACAAATATATTTTTTGAACAAAATTTATCTAGAGTTAGAAGAAGAGCAAAACAAAAGATAAGACATTTGGTCTCTTAAATATAAGATTATACATAGAGTTTAAAAATTTTATTCAAAGATATCAATAAAGTTTTGACTTATATGTCAAACATTAGGAATATATAAACGGTAAGTAATCTTGTTTGTTTCATTTAACATTAGAAACTAAAAATGTTTAGCCGTAAATAACCGTAGAAATATTTTATATTGACAATTTATTTGATAATATACCTTGTTTTGGTGTGGTAAATTTACTCCGAATATATTATTGAAGAGATTTTCTAGTCACACGTTTTATATCTTCTTCGTATCTGAAAAAAAGTAATTGGGTTTTTGAATAAATTTTTTTTTTGTGATAAATGGAAAGATCATATATAAGTTTTATAACAAAACTATTTTTATTTTATTTTTTTTTGCAATATTTAAAAAGTTATTTCAAAATAAAAATTAAATTTTAAATTCAGTACCGAAAACAAGCCGACAGCTCGGGAATAAACCCGAGCGCGTGTGACGTCACAATGTTAGTTTTTGCTCATTGTAGCATACAGAGATATAATAATTAGTACAGTGTTTTGAGTTTTTATCTAGTAAATTCTGTTGGCATTGTTAAATAATCAAAAGTTTTGTACCATTATGTACAAAGACTACAAAAACAACTCCTGAAAAAATGTTTTTAAATGTTCCACAAGACGAAAAACGTCGAAAGAAATGGTTTCAAGCAGTGCATCGAGATTATATCAAAAACAAAATCATTTTTTTTTTTGTTGTGAAGATCATTTCGTTGTAAGTATTCATAATAGTATTGTTATTAATTATTATTTATCTAAGTGTATAAATCGAATAAGTATAGTTCAATAATTAATTTTTTTACCTGGGCTCCAAATCATAACCTTTAGAATCGTAGCATTAAAAAATTTTAATTGATAATTCAAAGCGATTAAATAGTAAATCTATATGTATGTTTGTCTAATAATTGGACTTCAATTAATAGATATTTTCATAATTTTATAACATTCTAGGTTCTGTATCAGACTACATTTAAATTTTTAAAGTACATATATGTTATTTTGGTTTTTTTATAATGTTATAATAACATTTTATTAATAATGATTTAATGAAATAATTATTAATTATATTTAATAGAGAATAAATACTTATTTTCATTTAGAATATTATTTTTTAACAGACTTACCTTGATGCCTTATCACCTCGAACTTCAGCAGAATTAAACCGAACGTCATTTTTTAAAAAATTAGTTATCATAAATATATCAACATCAGGAATATTATCCGATTTTGCTTTTATAAATCCTTTATCACACATAGTCGAAATAAACTTTTCAAATCGTTTTTCACTAATAAATTTGAGATATTTTTATCAAGTTAAAGATAATAGCAATAAACACTGTACTATTATGAAATTGCTTTAACATTATGACGTCACAAGTATGCTGACCAATCATGGCGCGTTTACAATCACGTGATATATTTTTGAATTTTATCAATTTTTAATTGTTTATAATTAATTTAAAAAAAATATTTCAAGTTTTTTGCATTAAAAATCCAATATAATTAATAATAAAGTTTTAAAATACATAAAAAAAATCAATACTTTTTTTTTTCAAAAACCCAATTATGAAAATACGATTACCAACAAAACAATTGAATAGTTAAAACGGTACATTCAATATGCCTAAAAAGTATATTAAAGTCCGGTAAGCCATCAACTTTCTCGTAATTGTTAGTCACAAAAATTGCCGTAACCAAATTTTAATTAATTTTCATTCTCAACGACTCTCATTACTAGAGCTGAGAATAATTGTTTTTTAAGATTAAAATGTGCTTTGGAGTTTTTCTCATTCTTTTTGCTAATTATATTATGCTAATATAATTTGCAATCCCGGGATATTATTTGTCTTAACCCACCTGAAAAACTGGGTGACTGTTAAAGTAACATTCATTTCTCGTTTTGTATAATGCTATAATTTCTCCATTAAACCTCGAGCTCGGATATTTGTTTTTTAATATTAATATATCATACATTCTCTAGAATGAAGTAAATTTGATATGTATTGCTGACGTAATCTAGACTATTTATAAAGATTTTTGTCTAAGAATACTTTGAAATGTAGGACACTAGGTTGACCACTTTTGACACAATCACAAATAAGTGACTGCTCCCTAGCTTGAAAATATTACAACGAGGTTATTAGGTAATAAGGACTTGTAAGTTTGATAATAATCATGGTACAAGAATTTAAGCTATATTCATTAATAGAATGGTAAGTGAATGTAAATAATAATAATGATATATATGCATAGTTTTAAACCTGAGGTTATGAAAAATATTGCTAATAGATTAAAATACCTGGTTTGTTTCAATCTTTATTTTTTTCTGTAATTATTTCTTGCTTTTTACGCCACTGTATAAGAAATAAAAAGTGTATTAATTTAATTAATATTTAAAAGGGGTAGACGAAGCAATGAATAAGCTTGAACAATTAATTTCATGGTATATTTTTTAGTAACAATTTAAAAAAAATACTCATTTTTATAATTCTTCTACATGAAAATAGACTTTGCTATTCTTATAAATATATAATTCCCCTAAGATACTTTGTTATGATTTACTGGACTTATGTAATTACCGTACTTACTACCTTATTAAAAATCGTTTAATCAATTCATTAAATTACATCACTTAAGCTGTTTTTAAAATGTTGCGAGGATCTAAAAACATTCTCACATGTTATTATTGAATACTAATTGAATAAAAATTTCAATTTTCTCTTTATTAGAATAACTAAATAATAACCTATTACTTTTCACTTATTTAGCCGTTTAATATCTATATTAAATCAATAATGTTGTATTTAGTATCCTCAAAAATGTACGTGAGTAAATAAATATAATTTTTAATTTTAAATAGAAAATACTGTATGACGAATTCATTAAAACCATCAGGATTTTAAATTTCAATCTCAGTAATATCGCATTTCAGTTTTTTCACTTATAAAGTTATTGAATAATCTGTATATTTAACAACGAATCGAAGCGCTACAGAAAAGTTGTATAAATTCACGATAGAAGCACCCAAATATTTTTAATACAAATTTCTACAAAAAATATTTGCTGCATTAACTTTTTTACTAAATTTAGCTGTGTTTTATATTTCTATCAAAACAAACGTTCTAACAGAATTTATACTCGTCACACGATATTACACGTCAATGAATATATTGTCAATGTATTTGACAACATATTTTATTCGTAAAGAATAAAAGAATTTGTATTATTCCTTTTTTTCGCTTAATTTATAAAAAAGTATTCTTTTTTTCTTTAAAACGAACAAATGAGAATATCAGAATCAGAACAGAATACTTAAAACATGAAAAATTTTTTTGGGGAATAACTTTTTAAACCGTTCCATTATGTATGTAATCTAGGTTATATTTATCCTTAACTAGTAAACCTGGCGAACTCCGTTTCGCCACCAGAAGGCTTTTATATAACACTAGCTTTCCGCCCGCAGCTTCGCCGCGTGGAGTTCGGTTATATCGCGTTTCCAAGAGAACCTTTCAAAAGTCTGGGATAAAAACTATCCTATGTTCTTTCTCAAGGTCAACTCTATCTCTGTACCGAATTTCATTAAAATCAGTTCAGTGGTTTAGGCGTGAAAGCGTAGCAGACAGACAGACAGACAGACAGACAGACAGAGTTACTTTCGCATTTATAATATTAGTAGGGATTTCGTTTGGTGATTAAAAGACGAAGATTTTTTTTGTTTTATATTTGAAAAGGAAAATTTTTATTTCATTTCACAACAGTAATGAATTCATTTAGATTACAAAAATGAAGTGTTATTTAGTTGAACTTCTCTAAGTAAATGAAAGTGAATCCAAAGTAGATACCAAATCGAAGCGTTATACGTGTCCGCATTTGCGGATAATTTTATCCGTTTCATTGAAGTGCTCCTTTGTAAACCACATTTTTTGTTTTTTGGTCTAACTTTAACACAAATAAAGCGTATGGTTTCCAAACTCGTGAACACGCAAAATATAACTGCCCATGTAAAAAACAATGATTTTCTAAATTTATCCCGCAAATACTAAATGGTTTTAAGAGTTCAAACTACAAACTGATCGTCCAACTGATCGACCAACTGATCGACCAATTGATCGACCAACTGATCGTCCAACTGATCGACCAACTGATCGACCAACTGATCGACCAACTGATCGTCCAACTGATCGACCAACTGATCGACCAACTGATCGTCCAACTGGTCGACCAACTGATCGACCAACTGATCGTCAAACTGATCGACCAACTGATCGACCAACTGATCGTCCAACTGATCGACCAACTGATCGACCAACTGGTCGACCAACTGATCGTCCAACTGGTCGACCCACTGATCGTCCAACTGATCGACCAACTGATCGACCAACTTATCGTCCAACTGGTCGACCCACTGATCGTCCAACTGATCGACCAACTGATCGACCAACTTATCGTCCAACTGATCGTCCAACTGATCGACCAACTGATCGACCAACTTATCGTCCAACTGATCGACCAACTGATCGACCAACTTATCGTCCAACTGATCGTCCAACTGATCGACCAACTGATCGACCAACTGATCGTCCAACTGATCGACCAACTGATCGACCAACTGATCGACCAACTGATCGACCAACTGATCGTCAAACTGATCGTCCAACTGATCGACCAACTGATCGTCCAACTGGTCGACCAACTGATCGTCCAACTGATCGTCCAACTCGCTTCTATCTAAAAACAAACAGGGCCTAACTCTCGCAGCGTCTACTCAGCGTTACACAATACAATATTTGAATCCAGTTCCGGCAATGAATCTTTAATATATGTAGGTACAAAAATATAACACGATTCTCATATAAATTTCCTTAACACGAACGAGAAAAACTTGTACAAGAATATATGTACTAAGAATATAGAAACTCTTTGGATAAAAAATGTATTTACTGGCTGACCTTTGTGGATGCAACATCTACGCGTGACATTTGATTATTAAGAAAAAATGTTTGTTAAATGAAGCCATAATATACAGGGTGACTGGTGAATTACTATCGATACTTGAGGACGTGATATTTGACGACCATATATGACAAAATAAAAATTAATATAGCATAAATATTAATAAACTTCTAAGTAAAGTTAACCAAAAGTTATGTCTTTAATTACGCATCGTATGAACTCCCTACAGATTAGGTATACACACACACAAACACACTCGCGCGCGGCGGCGTGGTGTTGTATCAGCACGCCGCCGCACGCGTCCACACTTGGAACACTTGGAACGTGTCCACACTTTATTTATTTATATGGAATAATGGTCAAAAATTAAGTACCTATTTTTTTTACATAATTCGAATGAGAATCATGTACCGAGTATTCTCCTAAAATATTGATAGTAATTCACCAGTCACCCTGTAAATATACATACACATATTACAAAATTAATATTTATTATTTATTTATATGAAATTGATCAAGAATTTGCTTTTCTATGTACTTTAATCAAATGAACAAATGTTTTGAAGGTAATGCTTTTGGCGTTTGTAAATTTTGTTGTACCTTTTTTGAATAAGTAGAAAAATATCATAGGCGTAGAAAAATTCATTACTGTTGTGAAATATATATACATATATTTCACAACAGTAATGAATTCATTTCGAATACAAAAATGAAGTGTTATTTAGTTGAAATTCTCTAAGTAAATGAAAGTGAATCCAAAGTAGATACCGAATAGAAGCGTAATACGTGTCCGCAAATTATCCGTTTCATTGAAGTGCTCCTTTGTAAACCACATTTTTTGTTTTTTGGTCTAACTTTAACACAAATAAAGCGTATGGTTTCCAAACTCGTGAACACGCAAAATATAACTGCCCATGTGAAAAACAATGATTTTCTAAATTTATCCCGCAAATACTAAATTACATATCTGTCATTGTACGTCAATTGCATAGCTGTCAATTGTATTTCGTTATTCCACGTTTTATAGTGACTGACGTTTCATGTCAAGTCCCACGGGAATGCTGTCGAACGGGATAAAAAGTATCCTATTGCAATTTCCTGGCTCTAAACTACCTCCCTGCCAATTTTCAGCTAAATCGGTTCAGCCGTTCTTGGGTTATAAGTGGAGTCACTAACACAACTTTCTTTTATATATATAGATTATTAACCGAAATGCAAAAATTTCTATTTAAAGTGATTCATAATAATAAAATCTATTTTTACACACTTTGAACGTGACGTAAATAAATTCAAAACGATCTTTTTCAATCAATTAACTTAATAAACAGTAACTATTAAGCATTTAAAGACTTTGCTTTCATTTGAACGTCAAAAAATGTCAGCTTACGCTCAATTAGGTTTCATGCATTGAATAAAAAAGTTCCAAAGCTAAAACGTAAGTAAGCAAAAGGATCACAAACATCTACTTACACGAGTATATGAAACGATCCCTTTTGACTTTGCCGCAAAAACTGAATGTTGGCAACATCATTAGGCTGAGAAATTGTTAAAGACATGTTTGTTAACACTCCACAGAACTAGTATGACTATGTGAATTCTAAATGTGAAAAAGTAAGCTTACAAAAATAAGCAATTTGCTCATAGAAATCAAATAAAAACTTTGAAAAAATCAAACAATAAATCAAATGTTTTGGAAAAACATATTTTTAAGTATTATTATTTATTTTGAACTTTTTGTCTCACTGGTTTCCAATTTAAAACAGAAGTTATATTTACAGTTCAATGAATTTCAAAGTTTTCATCGATGTCATAAAATCTGCGGCATATTGGATTTTCGCTCCATTGAGCTGAAATTTTTATGATATAACATTATATCATGACCAATAGTTGTTGCAAAGCCTTACTACTCATATCAAACTCATATTACAAAAAAAAATAACTTCGACAATTTCTTTTACTTAAAAAACATACCTACATATATGAATTGCTTAAAATATTTATTCTTTTTTAATATTATAATAAATTGAAATTGAAGATTTTCTTAAGTTATATGCATAGTTAAAGACTTTCATTTTTACAGGAGGAACGTGATAAAGATGTGTAGGTATATAAATATTGTGATTACATATATTGATAGTGAAGTATTTATGAAAATGGTCGTGATTTGAAATTTTGTTTTTAATATAATAAAGTGCAACAACAGCAATTTCGCAAACATAAATCATCAAGAGTAAACACCGAAAAATTGCGTCGTCAGACCCTCTCAGTGAGCCTTAATACAATTTTGTGAGAGGGAAGCGTAAATCAAGAGCTGACCTCAGACCGGATGTTTTAGGAAAAATAAATATAATGTTATACTTATAATTCTATTTTCTTAATACTTTTGTTTTGATATATTTATATAAGATTAGTATTTAAATAATTTCACAGATATAATTTCTATTTATTCCATATAATGTTCATTAATTTTAATATTTTTTTTATGTCCTTTCTGTTTATTCGAAGACTTTGATACTTCATTTTATTTTATCTGCACATAACTCTGTACAACTGTAATATTTAGTAATTTGGCAACTTACTATGTCCTCAGACATACATAGGTATGTATAAGCTTGAGTCCTCTTGATGATATTTATCTTAAAGATCCGCCGTTAGAGACATGTCTCTAATATACAAGTTTGAGCACTTAATTTCAGAGTATTAATATAGTCCTTGAGATAAACTTGCAGCAAACTTCGATGATTCCAATCATCCGCTTCTACCTCAACATTACTTAAACTATTAAATATTCTATATACGAAACATTTTAATATTAAATATGTACCTTCATAGTTTTCGTTACTTAATATTTTAAAGTATTAATATCAACTTTCGTTAACATTAAATGAAATATATATACATACTATAAGAGTAAAAAAAAATAAGACCTAATCCGATAAACTTATCAACCAAAAAAATCTGCTCTTCTACAAAGTAACTAGGTAAAAGGCGATAGAAAAACTCCGAAAGACAGCATTTCCTTCAACCACATGCTCTGAACACAAGTTGCAATGAAATAATTAACAGCTGTAAAAGTAAAAAGAGTAATAACTAGTTCCTTATCCAATAGTGAAAGCTGATAGAATAATCTCACGTTTCATTCTACACTGATAACAAATCGGTAATTCAAGAAGCAGTCAAGTTCATAAACAAGAATCAGGATATACTAGCTGCTATTTTCGTGTTATATAATAATTATTTTTTAGATTGCTTTCTTTCATATTCAATATTACTACTGAATTAATTGTTTTTAAATATTTGTTAAATTATTTCTTACTTATTTAACTAAGAATCTCATCGCAAAGAATAAATCTAGGTGGCTAAATTTCGTAGCAATGTATACTTTATGTTTACAACATTTATTGTATTACAAAAACAAACTTTTTAGAAGATGCAATTAAAAATTTAATAGCAATTATTGTATTGCTATTTAAATATATTTTTCATCCGAAACCTGACAATAGCAGAATGTCAAGTAAATATTACTATAATCAATCAAACTCTTCACAAAGGTTTAACTAAAATTATACAAAGAGATATTTTATTTTTATTTATCGAATATTAATATTAACCATATAATAAACTGTTTTTTTTCTTCACTCATTTGTATGTTATAAAAAATATCATTTGTATGTATTTGAATTATCATCTCCAAAAATCTTAGCTTTCCGAAACTGATCGAGTGCCACTACATTTGGATGAGATTATTAAAATTACAAATATGATAATACAAGATTACTTGTACTGTACTAGAATATTTGTCTTTCAAATTCTTAATGTAAAGTGTCTGCAGATAGATACATAGGCAACAAATAATTCTTGTAATATTAGCGTTTTCCTAATTTTTAAAATATCAAACACAGAAAGGCAATCCTACAACGTTAGATTTACTATAAAACAATAATATTACAATGATATACTGTTATGTTGTTATCATACCAAAACCGAATTAAAATTTTGATGGTAATCAAAGAATGAAAAATTTATAGATAGAAGCAGGATTCTAATCTGCAACCTCTGTCCCGATATGATTTTTAAATATAGAACATGATAGTTTTATTAGTAAAGCAAATGCAACGCCACATTTCAGAGGTTGCAGGTTCAAATCCTACTCGAGACAATGAATTTGTCATTCTATGCTTCCTATTTTAAATTAAATTTAAACAATACTTCAACATTGCTTTACCTTTAAAAACATAATTACATTATTACTACACATTTTTTTACAAAACGAGCTATCTATTATTTTATAACATAAGATACCTTTTAAGGCCAGTCAGAGGTTCTGGTAATAGTAGAATACTTATAGGTAACCTATAAGGTAGGTGTTGGAGCCAATTACCAAGAATGTAAACGCCTCATATAAACTATTAGCTACGACGCGAGAACGCGGGACTCGGTCAAGATCATCAGTGCGTAACGAAGCATTGAACGTGCAACATCCATATGTGTAATCTATATATAATAAATAGCATTAAGTCAGTCTTCGTTTACTTTCAACCTGCGCACTCATTTTGGTGACCCCGACGTGATCAACTTCGAATTGGAACGGACTCGCAGCCAAACTGTTGTTACGTCATCACGAAAATATCACGGGCGGAGCTATCCTTCGAGAATTCGCCAGCAGCCAGCTGCAGCCACTGTTTCCGAGGGAAGTGCATCCATCCTTTCTACTTATATATCCTTTTTTGCTTCAACTCACGTGAGTAAAATTTATATGATAAATTTATATGATAAATTTATTTTTCGCCCACCGTCAACTTTTTTATGATATCGGTACATAATATAAAATTCTTTGTTAATAAAATTATTCTTAAAATTGTTGTTTGTACAAATAGCTTGTGTTATATGGTGTTTCGCGGTTTATTTAATTCTTAACATCGTAGTTATTAACATCTGACTCGTTATATATACGTGAAGCGTTATAATATTTTAAATATTGCACCGTCATTATGAGTGACGTAAAGGAACTTATCAAACAAAGGGGACATATTAAGGCTCGTGTAACATTGTTTGAAAAATATTTAAAACCATTGTTAGAGTGTAAAGAAATTAGTTTAGTACAGGTGAATGAATTGCGCTTGCGCTTAAGCAAGATACGTGATTTATCATGCACTTTTGATGATATTCAATCGCAGATTGAAATGTTGGATGAAGATACGTCAAAACAAATGCAAGAACGCGAATTTAATGAAAATATATTTTTTCGTTTATCAGCCGAAGCTCAGTCATTAATCGATTTTTTCGAAAATAAAAATAAATTAGAATCTTCATCTAACAAAAGTCGTCCGAACTGTCATTTAAAATTGCCCCCAATTAAAATCACTCCCTTTAATGGTGAGGCGAACAAATGGTTGTCATTCAGGGATACATATGTGTCGTTAGTACATAACAATGAAACGATTGACGACGTTAACAGGTTTCACTACCTCAAGACGTACTTGGAAGGGCCGGCTAGCGCTGTTATAAACTCAGTCAGTGTCTCATCCGATAACTATAGCCTCGCATGGAAATTGTTATGCGAGAGATATGATAACAAGCGTCTTTTGATAAATGAACACATAAAGTGCTTGTTTTCTATCGAATCCTTAACTAAGGAATCCCACAGTGGTTTACGTAACCTTATCGATACATTATCGAAAAACCTAAACGCCTTACATATTTTAGGTGAACCGACGGACAAATGGGATACGTTAATTATTTTTTTAGCTTCTGCCAAATTAGACAGTGTTACTTCTCGGAAGTGGGAGGAATATAGAAGTAATAAAGACGCGCCCACACAGGTCGATTTTTATGATTTTCTTCGAAAGCGTTCTATGGTATTAGAAACAATGAATGTTAATAAACCCAGTAAAGTTGATAAACGCCTTAGTTTCTCCAACACAAAATCATTCCTTAGCTCTTCTATAGAATCACCATCAACCTCCGCGCAGTGCCTTCTCTGTAAACAGAATCATAAATTATACGAGTGTAACACATTTAAGTCACTACCAGTCTCTAATCGAATTAATAAACTTAAATTACTAAATGTATGCTCCAATTGTCTTCGCCAGGGGCATCAAGCCTATCAGTGCAGGATGGGTGGGTGTAGAATTTGTCACAAAAAACATAACACTTTAATACATAAACAAAATTCTATACAGCAATCATTTAAAATTCAAGAACAAAGTGATAATAATAGTAAAAACTTACCTACGCTATCACCTGCCGCCACGGTCGCTACCGATTCCGAAGTGCCGAGTAGCTCTGCTTCGGTTTCCATGACTGCCATTTCTACCAATCAATCACTTCTCTCTACTGCTTTAGTCAAGGTGACGAGTAACGGTAAAACATGCATATTAAGAGCTTTACTAGATTGTGGCAGTCAGTCTTCTTTTGTGACTGTCAGGGCTCTAAGGGAAACAGGTTCGCAACATTTCGATTCTGATTACCATAGCGTATCAGGTATAGGAAGTAGTGTCTTCAATGTCACAAAACATTGCTATTTAGATATAGGGTCGTTAAACAGTTCGTTAGTTATGCGTGTTAAATGTTTTGTGTTACCTCACATCACTGATAGATTACCCAATGTTGCAGTAAACGTACAACATTTGGACATTCCGTGTCATGTCCAACTTGCCGATCCAAAGTTTTTTGAACCTTCCGATATTGATCTTTTATTGGGTGCTGATGTATTTTGGGACTTGTTGGAATCAAGCAGGATAAATTTAGGACCTCAAGGCCCAATCTTGCAGGAAACGAAGCTGGGATGGATTGTAGCGGGTCCAACTGCTATTCATAGTAACAGTAAGAATCGTAAATTATTTTGTCATTTTTCATTGGATATAAGCCAGCAGCTTCGTAAATTCTGGGAACTCGAAGAGGTGCCTTCTAATGTCGAATCTCTTACCGATGATTATTGCGAAAACTTATTTAAAAATACTACTTATCGAGATGCTCACGGTAGATTTTGTGTTCAAATTCCTCTTAAAGAATCTACTCAGTGCTTGGGTGATTCTTACAATATAGCTGAAAAACGCTTGTTGCAATTATAAAGGAAATTTAAGACTAAACCAGTTCTTAAACAAAAATATCCTGAATTCATTCACGAATATGAACAGTTAGGTCATATGACCGAAGTTCCTCGACCAGCATTTGGATGCTACTTGCCCCATCACGCTGTCATTCGAGAGTCTAGCGAGACTACTAAGCTTCGTGTCGTATTCGATGCCTCTTCAAAGACATCTTCTGGTGTCTCGTTCAATGATGTACAATATATCGGACCTGTAGTACAGGTTTTTGATTTACTTTCAATTCTTTTACGATATCGTTAACATCGATATGTTGTGTCAGCAGACGTCGAAAAGATGAATCGTCAAATACTAGTTGTTCCAAAGCAAAAACATTTACAATTAATTCTGTGGCGCGATGAACCCACATATAAAATTAAAATATGTCATCATCAATATGACCATATGTCTCACTCGACAATTTTGGGTCTGAATTGGGATCCATCGAGAGACGTATCGCAATTTTCAGCTAAGTTGCAACTTGATCAAGTTGCCACAAAACGGACAGTCTTGTCCAACTCAGCAAAGCTTTTTGATCCACTGGGATTACTCGGCCCATGTACCATCATCCCTAAAATAATTTTACAAAAGCTGTGGCTATCGAAAATGGACTGGGATGATCCAGTGGATAAATCTATATTCAAACAATGGACAGACTTTGCGTCGAACTTAGCTTCAATATCCAATTTTCAAATACCTAGGTGCGTTCTTTTACCGCAAGCAATTCGAATTGAGCTTCAGGCTTTCTGATGCCTCTCAGCTAGCATATGCGTCTGCCGTTTACGTCCGATCATTTTCATTTAAAACCTTTATATTTTAATTTAAAACTTTTACAAAGTTGGCGACCTTTATTAAATGACATCAGAAATAATTTTTGGCCTTTAAGAGGCAGAAACTTGCCGTCAAATAGAGTTATTCCAAATCAGCCATTTCACGCCATGGAGTCGACTTCGGTGGCCCATTTCATTTCACTGACCGCAAAGGTCGCGGTAAACCATTAGAAATATATTGCGATAATGGTACTAATTTTGTTGGAGCAAATAACTTTCTAACTAACCTCTCAAAAAACAATGAAGATATTATAGGTTTTGCCGCTGAGCAAGGCATAAAATTTAACTTTTCTCCCCCCTTCTCCCCTCACTTTGGGGGTCTTTGGGAAGCAGGCATTAAGGCTGCAAAACACCACATAATACGTATATTAGGCGATAAACATTTCACATTTGAAGAACTATCGACTTTATTCTCGCAAGTTGAAGCAATCCTTAATTCCAGGCCCTTAACTCCTCTTTCATCGGATCCCATTGACCTAGATCCCTTGACTCCTGCGCACTTTCTGATCGGTAAACCATTAACAGCGCTGCCATCCGAAACCTTGATGAACTTCAATCCACATCGACTTAACCGATACCAACTTCTGGAAAGGATGCGACAACATTTTTGGGATCGCTGGCAGCACGAATATCTCTGCGAATTGCAGCAGAAGTCTAAGTGGAGAGTCGAGCGAAAAGGATTCCAGGAAGGCGATCTGGTCATCATAAAGGAAGCGAACCTACCACCTCTTAAGGGGCGAATGGCACGAATCCAAAAACTTTATCCAGGATCCGATGGAATTGCTAGAGTCGCCGATGTCTTCACCTCCAAGGGAGTCGTCCGTAGAGCTGTACACAACCTCTGTTCTTTAGAAAATTCAAGGGACGTCACTCGAACACCGAAGGATTTCGAGGGGGGGGAGGATGTTGGAGCCAATTACCAAGAATGTAAACGCCTCATATAAACTATTAGCTACGACGCGAGAACGCGGGACTCGGTCAAGATCATCAGTGCGTAACGAAGCATTGAACGTGCAACATCCATATGTGTAATCTATATATAATAAATAGCATTAAGTCAGTCTTCGTTTACTTTCAACCTGCGCACTCAGTAGGTAAGGTATACCTTAGACGTATATAACACTCATTAGTATACTAAAAATTACATATTCGTAACTTCCAATATATACCTAACATGATGGTCCCGGTATAAATAGAGCAATACCACCCTATTACATCTGGTATAAGAATTATTTTGGTTCACATGACCAGTTATACGTACAGAACAAACTTAGACAAAAATGTCTACATCTGAATACTATTGAAATATGATAACACCTAAATATAGTACGTTATTGTAGTCATAGTTAATATTAATTAATAAACTTAACCATACTGATTTCTTTCAGTTGTTATTGTATGATTAATGTAGTCGATCATTGTAACGAACTACACATTTGTGAGGCTCACAGACTCGTTTGCTCATTTGATTGAGCAAACTCGATGTAACTATTTCGGTTTTCGGTTCGTATTGAAACGGGCGGCAAGTTTTACTTGGAACTCGCATCACGTCCCTAATATTAATTTTTGGTTTATTGAATAATACGTGACTTCAATACAAATTGAACAGAAAGTCCATCAATAAATTGAGTTTTCTGAAACCTTGAAATATAACAAATTTGTATAAGTAAATTATGTGAATGACTACTAATTTATCATAGTGTTATATAAAAATTTACATTTACAATTTTCATCTACTTAAGTAGATTTTCAAGCTCAAGTTCTTGAATTATAATATTGGACATCTAATACAAAATTAGAATTTTTCTTGACTAATATTTTTATTTTTATCTTATTTTAGAATATATTTTTTTTAATAAATCAAATCGATATCTTGAAAGTAAATATCGTTGTATTTATTTAAATAGATTTATGCTACTCATTACACCAATTTGATGTGAACCAATGAACACAAACTTATATTCCACTCATATTACAATACTTTGTACTTTTATTAGTGGTGAAAGGATATTCTAAAAGTAATATCTTAAGACAACTTTTAATACTTTTCTCGAAAACCATCGTGCTTTCTCGAACTTGGCTATTTCTCCTAATTTGTCCTTAATCCTTCAAAATTTCACGTCGATTTCTTTCATAGTTTTTTTTATATTTACAAAATCATGATTGAAAATATAAAAAAAATAGGGATTGAAAATAAAATATTTTCTACGGTTCTTTTATACATTTATGTCTATGGCTGTCTTCATCAACATCAACTTAGAAAATTTGGGATCTTCAAGGTGTTGCTGATACTTACATTACATTGCGGCCCTGACGAGTTTATGTAAATTACACTAAAAACAACGACTGTAGTAACAATGAATATATAAGATATAACATTTGCATCGCGGTCAAATAACGAAATATGAATTATTGCGTTGTGCTTTTGATTGACTGGTTATACATATTTTCACCATTTATTATATCTTTAAAGGCTACTTTTGAAATATGTACTTTGTCAATGTTTTCTGTGACTTTAATGGTTAAACTGTAAACTGAAACGTATATTAATATAAAAAAAACAATATTTATGAATATCACTTAAGAATAACTGTAATAGTAATTTTTAGTCTTAACAATTTTTTCAAAGATAATAATCAATACAATCAAATACATACATAAAAGCTCATTATGACAGTTATGGACATAAACACCTTAATAGCATGTAGGCTCTATTTTGGTTTTAGTTTTGTAATGGTTTTAATTTCCTTTAAAATATACGTATGTATATAAAGGAAGAACATAACCTTTATGTGTTTTATTTACAAAAATTAAAACGAATATTATACACTTTTCCTCCTGTAAATTTCAAACAACCTTTCCAACGAAACAATACCTTTTTTGGGTTTATTTTTAGATCCTTACCTACATAAAATATTGGCTTTTCTGCCAACTTCAATATCCAGGTTAAAGTAAGTAAGTAAGTAGTATCCAGGTTAAATGCCTGAACAAGCGATTTCATACAAAAATCAAAAGATCGCCCTTAAATTTCTTACAAATGGGCATAAGTATAAATGGAATATGAGATATTTAGCAAAAGATTATTTACTACAAGAAAAATAATTGTATCATTGTAAATATAAACAAAAAATCTGTTATTAGGCTTTTTATACCTAATAAAATCTTAAATTTATCTTTTTGTTAATAATTTAAATTTTCTTAGATCTGATTCATTCTGAAAAACGCCAAGTAATAATTTTGTCCTAAAAAAATTTTTTCCTTACTGGGGAAAGATGAGGAATTTTCAAATTTTGTTTGCAATTATATTTCAAACAATCTCACCGATTTTCAGCTTGGTGGGAATTTAGGTAACCTTACTCTTATTTTTTGGTCTAATTTGACCAGACTGTAAA